TATAAGTGATCAGTAGATGACACAGCCAGTGTGTGGGTAATAAGTAATCAGTCGATGACACAGCCAGTGTGTGGGATATAAGTGATCAGTTGACGACAAAGCCAGTGTGTGGGATATAAGTGATCAGTAGATGACACAGCCAGTGTGTGGGATATAAGTGATCAGTAGATGACACAGCCAGTGTGTGAGAGATATAAGTGATCAGTAGACGACACAGCCGGTGTAGGCCGAGTATTGGGCCCTGCACCACTTGGTCACCTGGCCCATGAATATGAACTGTAACTTGAGCCGCTCCCCACAAACCCCACACACCCACGACACACACCTGGACTCTCTCTATCATCCAGAATATCATCCGTATACGTGTCCGTGTTGATCTCACTCTCACTCCCACTTCCCACCCCCACGCCGGCCCGCCTAACCCGCGCCGCGAGCGCAGGCGGTGGGACTACCAGATACACATAACTGTGCACCTCTCTCAATAGATCCCGTCGCAGAAGCCACACAACGATGTTCACGCGTGTGCGTTGGTCCGCTGGTACAGGCACGCGTGGCTGTGGGGTGGGTACGTGGCCGTGTGCGTCGTAGCTGCGTGTGGGGGCTGTGGCATAGCGCATGTCGCGACTGTTGACCCTGTGATGTGATCCTCAGGTGAGAGGGTGATTGCGCGTGAGCGTGAGCGTGAGCGTGCGACTGAGGGGCGTGTGGGCTGTACGGCGTTGCATCGGTTGGTGAGCGGAGAAACAGCATATAACGACATATGGAATAGGGAGAGATTGTACAATGTAGTCGGCCGTGTGTGGGTTCTGGTGGTGTGGTGTGGTGTGCTAAGGCGTGTCCCTGTGGTGTGGTGCATGCACGTGGTATATATATATATATATATATATATATGAACGGCTTTCTCATGAGCACTGCAGCTGTGGGCTTCACTATGCCTGGCGTTTGGCCAGATGACCTCAAATATTGATATACTAGCGTAGGCGCCTGTCCATATACTAGCGTAGGCGCCTGCCCACATTCATGCACATGTGTTTTGAGTGTACAAACACTTTCTTCGTGGATTGCTTCTCCACTCACACTGCACCGGAGGAGTGGCAGCTTGATACTATCGCCTACATACCCCCGTATCTTCGTGCTCAACAATGCTTTAGCGTACCACTCTATGCTAGTCACAGCACACTTCCCCACCCACACTCATACAATAGGCCCGCCGAATGCTCTGCCTCTATAGTAACCTACATACCAAAACAAGTGTGCATGGACGTACATGACACATGTGCACATATCTGTGAAATGGTTACCATGGATACACACACACTTACCAGCCCGACACATTCTCGCTGTCTCTACCCGGGAAGTCTGGTGATGCCACACTGCACTCGGTAGTGAGATAGTCACCGAGAGACTGGGGCGTATTGAAGAAAGCCATCTGCTGCACAAGCTGGTTCCCTGGGAAGGCGTTCACAAAGTCGCATCCCAGCCCTGAAGAATAGGTAGGGATAGTAGTATTGGTTGATAGGTGGGAGTAAGATTCTTGGTTAATAGGTAGAGATAGTAGTATTGGTTAATAGGTAGGGATAGTAGTATTGGTAAATAGCTAGGGATGGTAGTATTGGTTAATAGGTAGATAATAATATTGGTTAATAGGTAGGGATAGTAGTATTGGCTAATAGGTAGGAATAGTAGTATTGGTTATTAGGTAGGGATAGTAGTATTGGTCAATAGGTAGGGGTAAAATTCTTTTAGTTATAGGTCAGGATAGTAATATTGGTTATAAGATGGTGGTAAGAGTTTTGGTCAATAGGCAGAGATAGTTTTATTGGTTAATATTAAAAAGGAATAATTGGCTGATAAGTAGGAAAAATCATACTACATAGATAATAGGAAGGGATAGTATTATTGGTTAATAGGTAGAGATTATCTTACCAACTAATAGGTAGGTATATTATTCCTGATTAAAAGGTGAGGATAGTATTATTGGTTGATAGGTAGGGATTATCTTATTAACTAAATGGTAGGTGTATTATCCCCGATTAAAAGGTGAGGATAGTACTATTGGTTGCTAGGTAGGGATTATTTTATTAACTAATAGGTAGGCATATTATTACTGATTAAAAGGTGAGGATAGTATTATTGGCTAATAGGTAGGGATTATCTTGTTAACTAATAGATAGGTATATTATTACTGATTAAACGGTGAGGATAGTATTATTGGTTGATAGATAGGGATCATCTTATTAACTAATAGGTAGGTAAAATTACTGATAAAAAGGTGAGGATAGTATTATTGGTTGATAGGTAGGTTTATTATTACTGATTAAAAGGTGAGGATATTGTTAATGGTCAATAGGTAGGGATACTATCATAGATTAATAGGTAGAGATATTCTTTTTGGTTGATACCTAAGGATGATAAGTTGTATAGTGTTCAATGACCCACCAGAGGTTCACGCGTGACATTGTATGAGGCTATACAAACTACACGAAGGAATCAATTCCAATGCGTGGTGCATTGCGGTCCTACGTCCCACTTCCAGGTCAGGTCACACCTTATACCAGGACTTGTACCACTGCACTTACACACGACACTCAAACTGCGAACAGTGTCCCTGCCTATAAACTGGTCTCACTATTTACCCTGTCAACGTACTGGTTGCTGTTGCATATCACATCACCTACCAGGACTTGGTCTCACTATTTACCCTGTCAACGTACTGGTTGCTGTTGCATACCACATCACCTACCAGGATTTTCCCCGTGGCTGCGGCACCCCTGTGCTTGAGGTGTGGCTATCTGAATGCCCTGTGCTGAGTTCGGTGAGTCACACGTGTCCTCTGCTTCAGATGTGTCGGGTGTGGCTGGTGTCGCAGATTCGTGCACGCATACACACCGGGGAAGATGGCACTCTGCGTGGGTTGTGTGTATGCATGTGTATGAGAGAGAGTGAGAAAGAATGTGTGTTTGTATGTGTGTATGTGTGTGAGTGTATGTGTGTGTGTGTGTGTGTGTGTGTGTGTGTGTGTGTGTGTGTAGTAGCAAACAAGTTAGCATGTGGGTGGGACCTGTGATAGAGACTAACATCGTCGATGCTTTGAGCAAAAAACAGAGAAGCTTATATACATTTATACCGTTTAAGCTGTTATTGACTATCTCTTGCTTGCGAGCCTGGTATATTTACTACTTTCAGCTATTTGAGATGCATACTATCCTCAGCTATTCCTGGATATCAACTATCCGTAGCTATGTACCAGTACTTACCGGGGTTGTTGATGTAGATGCTATTCATGGCTATCTTGTGGGTGAGTTTCGCTTTGCGCCAGAATATCAGGTGCGCCGCTAGACGGTACATATGCGCCAAAGGGGCGTCCAGATCACGCGCCAGGTCGGAGAAGTTCTTGAGAGGAGAAATGACCTGTGCAAAGACACGTACAATTGTATACTATATTACAGGAAGACAAATCAAATGTATGTGTAGAATGACCTGTGTATAGACACGTACAATTGTATACTATATTACATGAAGACAAATGTATGTGTAGAATGACCTGTGCAACGACACGTACAATTGTATACTATGACAAATGTATGTGTTTAATGACCTGTGCATAGACTCGTACAATCGTATACTATATGACATGAATACAAATGTATCTGTAGATGTTTCAAAAGTACTGTTATGCTCGAACAGACTGGTCACGTCACTGCTAAGGTACGTTTTATTCACAAGCACACTATAGTGATTCGCGCTCTCTCGTATAATCAAGTAGAAATTCGGGAATGGGGTACTGTTTGTAAGTTCGTCTAATCGGGTCCAACCGACCACTAACCACGAAATATAATACAGATGAGCCAAAAATTGTCATAAGGTTTAGGATTTTTAGGGTTTTAGAACCCTAAAGCTCTAAACCCTCATTGAGACACACAGTCACTCACACACAGTCACTCACACACAGTCACTCACACACAGTCACTCACACACAGTCACTCACACACAGTCACTCACACACAGTCACTCACACACAGTCACTCACCTTCATGAGATCCAGCAGTGCAGGAGAACAGTCGCGTGGCAGTGTGGCGATGAATTTGGAGCGGCTGGGCGAGTAGAACAGCAGACTGTGGTACGGCCGGAAGGTGCGTTGGATGTGCGCGGGGGGGTGGCTAGTGTTGCTGGTGAGGGAGGGTAGGTAGGTGGGTGGGTAGAGGTGTGGGGGCACGGGTCAAGTGATACTGTGCTGAGATGAATTTAACACAC